CCTTGATTATAGCAACTCGAGGTTTGAATTTGTTCTTCAGTTCCTTGAGCTTAAGATATGCTGAGCGAGTTCGGCCCTTTTGATTTTCTGACTCCAACTCAAAAAATAAAATAAAACAAACAAACAAACAAACAAACAAAAAAAACGTCTAGCAGCAAAAACAATCGCTTTAGTATAATTCCATATATACTTGGATTCATCTCTGTCATCTCTTTCTGGGTCTTTATTAGCTACCATTTTTCAAGGCTTTTGTCTATTTTTCTTTCTCTGTTATGGTGATAAATAATTTTATAATATTCTCTATTTCAAAGTTATATTCCATTCATATCCTTTAAGTGACTACCATAGAAATTTTTACAGACATAGTTAATATATTTCTCCTAAGGAGTCAAGAAACTTTTACTTTCAAGAATTCTTTTTTTTTGAAATGGTCAGCATTTTAGTGTTATATTACTTTATCTGTTTTTACTTTGTATAGCCCCCCAGCTTTTTTTGATTACTGCTTTTGTGAAATACCTAATTCCATTTTTTTGCTTTAATTAAAAAATGACCCTATCTTATAGATAGCTTATAGCTGGAGCATATTTGGTTGAATTGTTTTTTAATACATTCTGAATATCCATGACTTTTAGTTGGAGAATTTAATCCAAGATCGTTTAATAAATTTTATTTTAATTGTGATTTTAATGAAAATTTACAGAAAAGTTTGATTTTCATTCATTCATTATTGCACATTTTAATAGCCATTTTAATTTTAATTGTGATTTTAGTGAAAGTCTACCAAAAAGTTGGATTTTCATTCATTGGTTGTTGTACATTTTCCTCCCTACCCCTCCACCAGTTCACTTTAAAAAAATATTCATCCATTGTTGCACAATTTCCCCTCTCCTTCTCCTCTTCCTCCCCCTCAGTCCACTTTGTAATGTACTTCTTATTCTGGACTGTTCTCACACATCAAATGCCAAATCATAAATTTATTTTAAACTGTTCATTCCTTCATCTGTTCCAATGCTCATTATCTATCTACTTTTTTCCTAGTCTCCTTCTGACCCCCATGTCAATCCTGCTTTATTAATAGTGGTGTTCTTCAGTGTTTGTCCTTTTGTAACTGAGATATTTCAATCCATGTTCATTTAAAGTAAGTACTAATAAGCAGTATGTGTTCTGCAGTTTGGCTCTTTGTTTTCTACATTTCTTTCTCTATTATATCTTTTTTTCTGATTGAATTCTTAATATTGATACTTAGGTGTGGGGATGACATGACTAGGCAATGGGATTGGCTGAGGCCCCAGGACGCCTGTCTCCATGTCACCACATCACGTTGTTGGTGCTGTTTACCAACCACTGAGCCAGGTGGCCATCAAAGTCTATAATATTTTTTTTGTGATTCATATTTTTCTTTTTTAAAAATTTTTTTTCTTTTATTATTTTTTGTGTGTGTACCATCAGATTGGATCTGCCTGGTACAGGAGGAGATTGCCGCTCCTTCTCCAGCAGAGCATCTGGTGGATTTGAACCGTGTACCTCTGGGATTGCAGTAGAGCTTCTTGTCATTAGGCCACCAGAGCTCCTGTGATTAATATTTTTCGAATGCTCCATTCATTTTATTTCTTTTCATTTCTTTTTCTGTAATCTTGAAATTTTTTTATTAGTGTTTACTTTAGAAAGCTCTGGTGGTTCAATGATAAGGAATTACGCTGCCAATGTAAGGGTATATCATTCTGCTGGAGGAATATAGGCCATCTCCGTCTCTGATTTACTGCCTCTGAAAACTTGCAGGAGCATCAGCTATCAGTCTGTTCTGACTCAACAATACATAACAAATGATTACTTTAGACATTACAATTAACATCCTAACCTTCTAGCAATTAAGTTTGAATCAAGTAGTGGATTATGTGCTTTGCTGCTAACCAAAAGATCAATGGTTCAATTCTATTAGCAGCTCCTTGAAAAAAGATGGGAAATCTCCTTCTATAACAATTTATAGCTTCAGAAACTGAACGTAAGGTTATTTTGAGTTGAACTGGACTTGGTGACTGTAGGTTTGATTTTGAGTTTAATTTAGCTGACCCAGGTTTTCCAGTGCTCTAAGTCACACAGGAGGAGATTGCCCATCTTTGTCCTGCAGAGCCATTGGATTTAATCACCAGCATGGGATGGTCTTTAGTTTAGTCATGCATCTCCCTATAGATTAGACCACCAGAGCTCTTTTAGTTTCAAAGCAAAACAGTGCCATCAGGTTAAAACCAACTCAGGCGAGCCGGGGTTTCAGAGGTTGTAAATAGCTCAGGAGGTGATTACCCATCTTTATCCGTGGAGCAGCTGGTGGATTTGAACAGGTTGCCTTTGTATTGACAGTGCAACTTCTTGGTCACTAATAGACCCTAATTCTGCTCCTTCATAACTCCGTTTTCTCCTCTGTATTGCTGTAGTTATGTTATGTCTGTATACATTGTGTGTCCACTAATGTAACCTTAAAATTTTTCATTTAACTAATAATAACAAAAAGATCCAAACATAAAGAACTAAGAAAGTCTCTGTAAATAAACATTATGTGTGAACATGAAAAAGAAAATTTTCATTTAAATCATACAGGGGAAAAAAGTACTTAAAAGTACGTAAATAAACAAAATCAAATATGCAAAGAATCTTTACTTGTAGAGCAGGTCTGCAAGTAAAGATCTCCTCGGTTGGTTGTGTTTGTTTTTTTAATTTATGAAGGTCATTTTTTCTTAATTTTTTCCTTCAGTTCTTTTTTAACTAACATGTTTACCATTCATATGCATGTTTCATGCATGTACATTGTGCTTTATATGATCTTTCATTTACATTATATTTTGTTTGTGTATTTTGTGGGTTCCTCCCCCCATAATCATCTTACTAATAACTACATTTGTGAAAGCATGTAAGCCATCTTTATCCGTGGAACAGCTGGTGGATTTGAACAGGTTGCCTTTGTATTGACAGTGCAACTTCTTGGTCACTAATACACCCTAATTCTGCTGACATGAGTTGTTAAATTGTTTTGTTATATTTTAACATTTATTTTCCTGTTTTCTTCATACTTTGCCCAAAAAAGCAAGAGTTCTTTTAAAGTGTATTAATTTGTTTATTAATTTTGGTATTTTCGAGTCATTGAGATTTACCTTTGCTTTCTCCATAAAGAATTATATACTTTGCTTTAAGTTTGTATGAATTGATGTAATTCTAAACTTTGTCATTTTGAATATTTGGTTTTTCACAAAAATTTAATTTTAATCTCTTGAGCTGTGACAAACAGTTAATGGAATTGATGAGGGAAGGAACTTAAAACTGAATCCCTATCGTGGGTGGAACTTTATATATGTTACCTTACAAAACCCTTAGCACAGAATGTGAGGTAGGTGTAAATACCTCAATCACAGCCACTGTGCAGTAGGAGTTGTCCTTTCCATTTAACTGATGAGACACCTGAACCACTGAAACCTTAATAAATATATTGCTCAAAGTCACATTACTTCTAAGTGACAGAGCCAGAAATAACACCAAAGCTTGTGATCTTTTTTATGTGACACTGCTTTTATTTCACAAGAGACTTAATAAGTATTTAATAAATCAAGGAATGACCTTGAAAAGTATCTGTTCCTTGCTGAGTTTTTCTAAGATTCAGCCAGAAGTTACAGTAAATCATTGTGATTCTCTTTTCTTCCAGCTTTCAGAAGAAGTATTAGATAAGTGGCTCTCCTACCCAGAGTCCCAGCATGTTCCCCTCTGCCAGCATATGCTTAGTTTTGCTATGAAGTCTGTTACACAGATGGTAATGGGTAGTACCTTTGAAGATGACCAGGAAGTCATTCGTTTCCAGAAGATCCATGGCACGGTAAATCAAGGACCAAATTTAAAATTATACTTTAGTCAATTAGGTAGGTGAATAATGCAGCTTTTGTCTCTAATGGAGAAAGTTTAAGATTCAGTGTTAACAGGAGTAGTGTCCAATTTGCGATGGGTATCATTTCCATGACTCTGCCACAAATGATTTTTCATGAAAGCTAGATTGCTCTCTTTTTTTTTTTAGGCTGAATTATTAGATTTAATGATAGAAAAAAATAATACTTGCAAAATAAATTTCTGCCTTTTAAAAAGATTTAAGCCATTTTTTTTAATTTAAAAATACACATTGCTAAATTTACTTAACAAGTATGAATTTTCTCAGATGTTTGTTCATTGATCAATAAGTTTTGTGTTCTTTCACTGGGTTTGTTTCCGACATTTGAATTATAATTAATTTCAAGTGTTTTCTTCTGCTTTTTGCCTCTAAACTGTAGGCTATTTTTTAACCTTTTTCTTGACTTAAACTGATTTTAATCAACATCTCAGGTGAAATAAAAATTTGGAATTATCTATTTCTTTCCACTGGTAAAATAATAACAAAAAAATTATTATTATGTTGTGTCCTTTGCAATTTGGGATCAGTGCTTGGAGAAAGTCATCATGCTTGGGAGGGTGGAGGGACAGCACAGGAGAGGAAGATCTTCAATGAGATGGATTGATTCAGTGACTGGGGTAATGGAGGTAGGTGTTTCAGAGACAATAAGGTTAGCACAGGGTTCAGAGCTGTTGTACAGAGGGTCACTATGAGTCAGAAGCGACTTGACAGCACATAACAATAACAACAATGCCCCTTCCAAACCTTTCCATTCCTAGTAACGGGTCACTTTCCAATTATAATTAATTTGAATACTAGTTCTAAATCCCAACTGAGTGTGGAAACTACAGAACAGTGTCATTGATTTCACATGCAAGCAAGATTCTCCTGAAGATTATCCAAAAACGATTAGAACAGCACATCAGCAAAGAACTGCCGGAAGTCCAGGCTGGGTTTAGAAGGGGTCGTGGTACTAGGGATATTGTTGCTGATGTTAGATGGATCTTGGCT